AGGTTGTGATCGACCAAAGAAAAAAAGACAGAGTTGATTAATTTTGTGTTTTGGTTATGGTGCAGTGGGATGGTCTTGAGAACAAGACCACTGTGGTTATCTACGGAGGAGGAGCCGTTGTTGCTGTTTGGTTATCTTCCATTGTTGTTGGTGCCATCAACTCTGTTCCTCTGGTAACTAAACAATCTTCTTTTAACCTGTTTTTAAATATCAAAGAAAGAAAGTGTTAACTGGTCTAATGATGTTTGTTTTGAGTGTAGCTTCCAAAGGTTATGGAACTTGTTGGTCTTGGTTACACAGGATGGTTTGTCTACAGATACCTTCTTTTCAAGGTAACAAAACTGCCACTAACTTTTTTATAAAAGCATCAACGAAACTCACATGATGTCTCTGAAAATCTTGTTTCAGTCAAGCAGAAAGGAGTTGGCTGAGGATATTGATTCCTTGAAGAAGAAGATCGCAGGGACCGAATAGATTCCATTCAAAATAATATAAAACCAGCTTTCTCTGTGGGCTTTTCCTGTAATATATTATATGATTATACAATGTTTCTATTTCAAAAATGTATCTTCTTTGCAGTTTGAGTCTTTTATAATTTGATCCACCGGCATTGTGAAAGCAATTTAGTTTTTTTTTTTTTTAACAGCAGAGATTTAGTTCTTTCTTTTTTTCTAACAGCAGAGATTTAGTTTTAGGAGAAACTTTAGCATCAAAAATAATAATAGGGGAGTCTTTCATTTGAAAGTCTCATGTTAAAGTTTTTTATTTGAGAAAAATAAAGATGTCTTTGTGCTGTGTGATTCCTGCCAAAGCGTTCTTTATTTGGTTTGTGCTGTTTTTTTTCGGTTTTAGTGACTTGTTTCGGCAAACGGTGAAGTGGTCTGGGATCCATGAGCTATGTCTGGCTTCTCTTCGTTGGAAAGTAAAAGTCATGAGTTCTGTCTATACCTCCTTCAGCAGTGTATGCCTGAGACTCCTTTTCTATGTCTTGATTTGGTTGCCAGTCTACTTGGGTTTAGGTTTTGATTCCGTGGTGGCGGCTCTTCTCACTCCGTCTAAGCTTCTGGTTAATATTGGTTACTCTAACTATCTTTACTTCCTTTCCATGATCGAGAATCTACTGTCTCTGTGTAGAGTCACCCATGTTTGAGTTTTAGATGTCTTCCTTATGGACTTATGGGAATATCTTCATTTTCCACCATATTTTGTATTACATCATTGTATTCAGTGTTTTGAATTGAATCAATATATTTATATATAGGGTATATATTTAAGAGGAAAAAAAGAAAGATGATTTTATAATTGAAAGACAAAGGTTGAAGTTGCACAAAAGAAAGAAAAAAAGCCAAAGATGAATTACATCATAATGCAAGTTTAGAAAGAAAGAAAAACAAGGATGCAGTTAACAAATTTTAAAGGTATGGGTTTAATTCTAAGGACAGATAGAGAGCTGGGCTCGGAGATGAAGAACATCATTGATGAAGTAGGGGGAATATTCACCAAGGAAACTAGCCCATGTTGTCCCAAACAAGTCCATGTATCCAATACATTCAACTCCAGTGAACTTATACTTTGCTTTGCTTCTTATGAAAAACTCATTGGTTGGCTTCCACCTAGCTGAAAACTCGTAGTCCACAGTCAGACTCACCTGCCCTTTTTCTTGTGTCGTAAGAGACAGTCCAAAACTGTGTAACCCATTTTGCTGGTACTTGTTGCAAGAAGCTAAGAGCAAGAACTCTTGTCCTCCCAAGTGAAACTTTTCAGAGTAAATCTGATTCGATGGATACATAGCATGGCATTCTTTGCGTGTCAAGTCTAGGTAGACTATGCACTGACGGTGAGGCACATCGAACTCCACAGTTTTGATGGGTCTGTATGTGTAGGCTCGTTCAACAGGCCAGTGGTCAAGTGGCTCTGCTTTGATGAAGAGAGCATCCATGACTAGCTTGTACGCGACAGGAGGTGTGAAGTCATCTGAGGTCAAGATTTTCTTGAGTCTGGAACATGTCATGTAAGGGAAACGGATGTAGCGAGTGAGACGACCTAGAATCTCTTGGCGTTCTTCTAGAACTGGGTAATTTGTTTTTGCCCATTTCAAGGCAACTTCATAAGCAATGTCTTCAGAGGCAATCATAAGATCGTTACTCGCTAGTAGTGTAAAGATACCCACTAACGGTAAAGCCATCAGCTCCTCTACTGGAAACCTATCAAACACTCAAAATGTAAGAACACAATTTTTTTTACACAAAAAAAAAACCTTTGAAAATTTCAGTATATGTATGCTTACTTGGATATATCCTTGTAGTACATGATGAGGTAATCCATTGTAGCATATATCAAAGGCCTTACGGACTCAGCACGTAGCAGGGAAGAAGGAAGACGAAGAATAAGAAACACATTAGGCAATGTCATTGGAATATTAAGCAACACACGGGTGCAGTATTCCATACACGAAGTAACTTCAAACTTTTGTGAGGCCATTAGAACACGAAGCAAAGCAGGGACCTCAGTGACTGATGATAGCGAATTTGTATACATGAAATTCAATAGCTCCATTACAGCTTCTTCCTCTGCAAACAAATCGAATATGAGAAACAAAATTATTCTGTTTTACTCTACAATAAAAAGAACGCAAAAAAATGAAAAGAAAAATCTATTCGTCATAAATGGTAAAATCTCTTAAAAATGTTAAGGAATATAGTGTTTCTCATGATTCCTTTTGTCACGATTTAAAGTCTTTGATAAGTTATACAATTCCAAAAAGAAGGGTTAATATTCATGTATTGAATGAATGAATGAATATTTACTATAGCAGAAAAAGTATTCATTCATGTATGTATTTTTACCAAAAAATAAAAATAAAAATAAATAAATATATATATATATATATATATATATATATATATGTATTCAAAACTAATACCAGAAGCTTCTATTCTCAGAGTGACATCTTTTTTCGCCGACTCAATCATTCCGAATAGCTTGTAGAAAAATTGACTTTTGGCTGCCAAAATGAGAGAGTTTATATGTAATTCTGTAACTCTCGGAGCTGGAGGGTTAGTCGTCACACTCATCCCTTCCTTCTCGTTTTCACCACCACCTACGGCTGTCATAATTTTTCATAGGTCCAACGTCAGCTAAAACAAATTTTGATTTAAAGAATAACAATATTCGTATTAAAAGTGGTTTGAATCCGTGGCACAACACAAGGGAACCAAAACCTCGCATAACCACTAGACCACCAATACCTTTGGTAACCACGAAAAAAAAAGAATAATTGGGGATTAAACAAAACAAACCGCCATTAGTGATGACATCTTTTCTCCTGCGTTTGCGATCCTGAACCGAATCGACACTGGTGATCTCACCGCCATTAGTGATCTCGATACGAAGAAGACCGTCGGAGTAACGAACATTGTTAAAACCAAAGCCAAAAGCACGCTCCAAATCCATAAAGAGTTCCATTTTAAAAAGAGATAAGTTAGATTTTTTTTTAGATTTTATCACAAGGGTTTACAAAATCAATAGTTTAAATCCAGAAGCTCATTGGCTTTTATAGCTGGAGCATTCAACGTTTCCTTTTTCTGGCGCCCCCACCTCATTGCGTTATTTCCTTAAACATTCACTAGATGTTATTTTGACTTGGACTAACTATGCAAAATATTTTTAATGTAATTAAATACTGTTTGACCATAACACCACAGCTAAGATATGCACATATAAGACTAAATTTACACAGTTTTAATTTTTTTTTTGGCATCATTTACACAGTTTTAATTAAAATCTCGGTTTTATAGTTCTAGAAGTTTAAGTGAGATTATTTATCGAGTGCATTCTTGAAAAAAAAGTTGATTTCATGGGGTATTATTGAATGATGAATTTATAAGAATTTAATGCCAACGATAATCTGGTTTGTTACAATAAATGATTCTAATTTTTTTTTTTACATTCAGTGTATTCGATTTTATATCTGTAAATCATGTACTATAGATATTAAAATCTGGTGTTATTTAATTAACTTCCAAATATTTCAATGAACACTGAACTCCAGTATTTTTCAAATGAACTTTTTGTATATGAAATCATTTAAAGTAAATTACATCATATTTTTATGTGTAGTAGAGATTTTGGAATCCACACATATAAGTTAACAAAATGATAACAAATTATAAATCAATAATTGATGAACATCCCCGTTAGAATGTCGAAGAATAGTTGCCACAAGTCATAAAAGGGGTTGGAATAACTCTATCATACAGGTAAATTTCATTCCAATATATTTTTAAAAATAGTTTCTAAAATATAAATAAAATAGAAGAATATTATTTCTTTCACCAAAATATAAAAAAGGAAAAAAATCTCTTATGTTGAACAGAAACATTTTTTAATAAATTTGGTCAAAAACTAATTAACACATAGTAATCTCACAATCATTGAAAATTAAATATTTACAAGATTGCTTTACAAACCACTAAAGAAAACTTGTCCATTACTAGGACGAGTTTTCCTGGTTATTTCTTAGTAAATGACCATTTACTAAGAACTTACGAGGAAACGCGTTTCGTCGAAACACATTCATCGTAAAGCTTTTTTCCTTGTAAGATCCTAGCTAATTTACGAGAAAACTTTTCCTCGTAAACGCGTGGTTAGCTTTTCCTCGTAAGGTCCTCGTAGGGTTTCTTCGTAATGTCATAATAAATGATTTCCTCGTAAGCTCGTAGTAATTAATTACGAGGAACTTACTAGAATAATTTACGAGGACATTACTTCGAAACCTTTATGAGGATTTTGCTTCGAATTATTTATTTTCCCTATTAAAAAAATATTAATTATAAATATAAATAATATATTTTTAAAAAAATAACAAAAACCAAATTATAAATAAAAAATAAAAAAAACAAAATATTTTATAAATAACAAAATAATGTACAATTAAGTTTTAAAATTCATAATGTACAATTAAAAAAAAAAATACGGATGTTGCTCGTTAAATTTCCGAACGAAATCGTCCTGGCTCGCCAAATCCTACTCCTCTCTAAAGTTGGTTGCCGGCTGTGACTGTGATGGTGGAGGCTGTTGGGTTGGAAGCCCTCCGCTTTCCCGTCTCTGACGCAACATCTCCGTCAATTGTGGGTTTCCAACCGCCAAAATCTCGAGTACATCGGTGAGAGAACTCACATGCTCGGTGAGCGAACTCACATGAGATTGTGTCGCCTGCAATTCCGAGCGCAGCTGAGCATTGACATCGTGATGTTCCTGAGCATAAGACGATGTCGCTGTGGGGACATTTTTAACCAAGCCAATCCCGACGATATGCCCCTTTTTCCTAGGGGCGACCTGTAAATAAAAATATTAATAACGTTAATGAAATATTTAAATAAATAATAAAAATTAATAGTAAAACAAATTATTCACCTCTCTTATCCACTTCAAGAGTGGATAATATGACTGGAGTCCCAGTCTGCTGAGTCAGCTGGGTCTAGCGTTCGTCAACTCGGGCAACAACCTCGTTGTAGATCCGCTCGGAAGCAGGAACTACAAACTGCCCAGCCTTGTTCCGGTGGGTCCTCTCGTAAAGGTCTTTCAGAGATGGAAGAACTCCTGTCTCTTTAGCCAAAAAATAATTTTTAAAATTAAATATTAATTTGGAATATTCAAATAGAGTAAAAATTATATAGTTATTAAATATCATCTTACCATGTCAAGACAAACTCCCCCGTGAGGTTTTCGACCCGTGGTGTGAAGCATCGTCGTGTTGCCATGCTCGTCTTTGGTCATGCGGTTCCCGGAGTTTGTGTGGGAGGTTCTGACCGAGTCCGGCAACCCCCAATATCTGATGAGGCCATCCCACACCGTGGTTGTGAGGCAATCGGGTTTACCGTCCTCATAACCATCCACCTGAACAAAAAATAATTTTAAAATAATTAGAATTAAAGTCAATAATATTTTTAAAACTATATATATATAATTTATAAATCCATACCTCAAAGTTGCATTTCCAGTTGTAGACCATGTCGAGCAATCGTGCTCTTGCCTTGGCCTCAAACTCCGTCGTCACCCACTCGTGAATTCCTATAGACCAACGATATTTTTGCTGTAACCAGAAAAAATAAAAGACGGATTAGTTCAATAATATTAATAATTTTAAATAATTAAAAATAAATTAAGTTGATTAATTAAACTTACAGCGAACGATTTGAACCACGTCTTTTTGTGTGGCTCGGCGTCTTCTTCCAGTTTCGAGCTGCTTCGGGAAAGTATCCCTTGATACAGTACGTGACGCTAGTTGGGACACATCCGTCAAGACCAAACCTGGAAAGACACAAAAAAAATCATTAATTAGATTAATTTGTAAATATTTTGTTAATTAAGAAATAAATTAAAAATACTTTTTAAAAATTAAAACATACCATAATACGTTGTGGCCGTCCTGTCGGATAGGATATAACTCTGGCAGTCCTTCTTTGCCTGGAAGGGCCAAAATATCCTCCACCGTGTACACCGCAAATGGTGCGTTCGGCGGCACCTGCAAATCGGGATGAACCTCGACCGGTGGAGGAGGAGGTGGAGGTGGAGGAGGAGGTGGTTGCTCAAACCGGGATGCCGTAGAAACTCCCTGAGTCTCGGGAACAGCGTCAAGATCCGGAATCGAAGATGAACCGGGAGCTGACGAAGATGAAACGGGACCAGACTGACGCCCGAAAAGATCTCCGTAGTGACTCCCCTGAAGAGGCCTCTTAGCCTTAGCAATCTTGCTCTGTCTGACCATCTAATTTTTTTTTTTTAAAAACAAAACATTAATTCCCGTATAATTTAAAAAAACAGTTAAAAAAGTAAACCAACCTAATCTAAATTACCTAAACTACCACCTAATCTAAATTCCCTAAACTAACCACCTAATCTAAATTTCCTAATCTAATCACCTAACTAGGAAATAGAGAGAACCTTAAGAGAATTCAGAGAGAAGTTTACTACAAATGAGAAATCAGATTGCTCGAGTTTATATAAGGAATTTTGTTTCCTGGTAACATTACTAGGCCTTTACGAGGAAATAGCCATGCCCGTGTTTTTATTTCCTCGTAAAGTCCTAGTAATACCATTACTAGGACTTTACGAGGAAACTGCTTTACGAGGAAATAGCTATGCCCGCGTTTTTTTCCTCGTAAAGTCCTAGTAATGGCATTACTAGGACTGTAAGAGGAAACATCTATGCCCGCGTTTTCTATTACTAGGGCTTTACGAGGAAAGGGTTTGTAAATCCCTAAACTCGAAATCCCAAACCCCAAACCACAACTTCCTTAACTTATAACCTCTTCTACAACCAAACTCCTAACCTTTTCTATACATAAACCCGAAATGAAAATTGATATTGTGATTAAACAAACTTAAAACATACATAATCCAAATTTATTTTTGTGATTAAACAAACTTATAAACATACGTAATTCATTCGGATACATTCCCGTAATCTGTTATTACATCATCATTTTCTAAAAACTCGTCCTCTACACCTTCGTCCGTTGAGTGATCAGGAACATCTTCGTATTCACGATTATGCGGATCAATGAGTAGGATGTCATCAATTTCTGCTTCAGGTTCCTCGATCTCATTGGTGTTTTCTTCTTGTAATGGTGGTTCTTCTCCAGCGATTATTCGTCCTCGAGGTGTAACTTTAATAACAACTAACCAGTTTATTCCCGAGGTAGTAATCCGAGGGTATGGAATGAAGCAAACTTGATCTGCTTGGGAAGCTAATATGAAAGGCTCAAACTTGTTGTACCTACAAAAATAAAGATCAATGTAAAAATTAATTAATACTCGAAACTTGGATATTAAAAAAAAAGAATTTGTTGTACCTTCGTCCACCGTTGACATCAACTACACCGTTCTTGTTAATCCGAACACCTATGTTGACGATGTGGTCGTACCACTCACACTTGAAGATAACGCATTTCAAACTCATACCTGGGAACTGAACTTCATAAATCTCCTGCAAGATCCCGTAGAAATCTGTTTCGCCTTTCACACATATTCCATAATTACTTGTCGCCCGGTGTCTACCATAGTCATAAGTATGAAAAGTATAGCCTCGGGTGCAATACATCCATGATGTAGTGACCTTTGCAACTGGATCTTGAAGTAATTCGCGAAACCATGCAGGATACTCAGGATCGCCATAATCAACCTGCAACAAAAAGTAATATAACTAGACATTAGATTTACTTTGTGGTAATGTATGCATACAATTTAAGTAATAATAAATACATGTTTCCTCAACCACTTGATAAAATGTTGATATTTCCTTTTGTCTAACTTAGTTGTCGATATACCAGGTATTGCTTCCTCGACTTGAGTCAGAAATTGGCTGTAAAATAATATATGTTATGTTATATATTTAATATTGAATATATATATATATATATATATANGTAATGTATGCATACAATTTAAGTAATAATAAATAC